ACATGTGTGCATGCTAGTGTGTGTATATGCAACATCTCTCAAGAATTGAGTCTCTCCTTCTGCCAGTACTCAAACTCAGGTCGTCAGACTTGGTAGCGAACACCTTTACTATTGAGACATCTTACCAGGCCATGAAAAGGACGTTGTGTGTAGTGTTTGCAGCTCAGATATTGTTATAGGCAGTGCTGAGTGGGGCCGACTGCTGAGCTCCCTCCACACAAAGGCCAGCTTCCAGAAGGACAGCTGAGGGTCATCTCTGGAGAGATGGCTCCTGCCCTCTGGTTCCCTGCTAAGTTCTGGGACCCATCATTTTTTCTGTGGTTTGCTTCATTTTGGTATCCTGACCCATGACCTCTTCAGGTCATATGTGAGACACCAGGAAAAGCAGTTGTCTTAGGGTTTCTATTGCTGTGAAGAGACACCATGACCACGGCAACTCTTATAAAGAAAAGATGTAATGGAGGCTGGCTTACAGTTCAGAGGTTTAGTCCATTATTGTCATGATAGGAAACAAGGTGGCATGCAGGCAGACAGGGTGCTGGAGAAGGAGCTGAGACTTCTACATCTTGATTATCGGGCAACAGGATGTGGACTGAGTGTTACAGGGAATGCAGCTTGAGCAAATGAGACCTCCAAGCCCACCCCCACGGTGATACACTTCCTCCAACAAAGCCACACCTCCTAATAGTGCCACACTCTGTGAGCTTATGGGAGCCAGTTGCATTCAAATTACCACGGAAGCTCAGGTCGAAAGGCTGGAAGGGACTGTGCAGGGGCCCCTGATGAACACTTCCCCTAGGTCCCCAGCATGGCCCACTCCGCTCCATGCTTCTCTCCACTACCTGACCTGACAGCTTCTTTTCCTTTTGTATAGAGTCCTGTTTCCTGTTCACCCTCACACGCCAGAGGCTGCCCCCCTTCTGCCAGCAGGGGTACCTGAAGATGCAGGGACTTTCAATCACCAAGAGCCTTCGGCAACATGGCGTGGAAAGCAGGCTCCTGCGGGACTACACGGCCGTGGAGGACAGCAGCAGGGGGCCTGGTGACCACCCCTCGGCTCCAGAGCCTCTGACTCAGTCCCTTGACAGTAACAAGGAGGAGCTCTGAATATCCTCTTCCAGGCTGTTCAGAGCTTTTCCCAGGCTCTCTTCCACCTCTCCGGTTGCTGAGGACCATCAGAGATAACAGACAACAGGACAGGCTATAGAGTGTCGAAGGAACAGGACAGGCTATAGAGTGTCGAAGGCTGGGACAATGGTCACACAGTGGCGTCCCTTCCTGTGCTGGCCCCTGGGTGCTAGATGCAAGGTTAAGAGGCGGGGGGGGGGTGCCTTCTGTCAGGTATGAGATGCCTTCCACAGCCAGCCCATGTCCAGCTAGGAGCATCACTAAGCACCATGTTGGTCTTGTGTGTCTGCTGCTAGGACCAACCTCCTTTCCCTTCTCGTTCACTCTGCCGATGGGCTTGGATCTGCCCGGGGAACGGCTCTCAGCTGAAACCCCCTCATTTCCATAGCGGGCATGTTAGAACGAAAACTTGAGGTCTTCGGCCATGGGGTAGACCGTTGGGATCTCTGCTCCTCAGTACAGCTATGGACCCGACTCAGAAGCATCAAGCATCTCCCAGGGTCCTCATCCAGGAGGGCCTGCCCCATGCCGCTCTTTCTTTCCACACCACCTCACCCTCCCTGGCACTGGCTCTCAGCAGGACTCCAGTCAAGCTGGGCATCACAGGCCCAGGGCGCTGGCATAGGACAGAGACAGCCAACTCCTGCAAAGCTGTCTACCCAGCTGGCTTCTCGGGAACAGGGCACCTCAGAGCTGTCCTGTGCCCAAGATCACACTCCCAGGGATCAGCAGCCTCTGTGTCCCTCTCCCACATCGCTGTCTGGCATCCTGAGCCATGTCTTCCTTGAGACCTGCCTGGGCAGGTTTAAGGTGTTGCTGTGCCTGCTGCCTTGGGCATGGAAACATGGACACTTGCCGGCTCCTGGATGCCTTGATGTTCCTCTCTTCTTCCTTGCCTTTCCTTACCAGAATCCATGTTCAGCCCACAGACTGGTCTCACTGATGAGTAAGCCATGAGGAAGGCATTGCCCACAAGGGCAGGTGGTGATCACATGATTTCCCATAGCCCCAGAGCGCAGGGACTGTTTCCCACCAGCCCTCTCATTCTTCATGGAGCCCACTCAGACGTCCAGGGACATGTCAGCCCAAAGCCCCTTCCTGAGAGCGTCCTCTTCCCCACAGAAGAGTCTTGTCTGGGTCCAAGCCCTCTTGACCTCCTGACCTGCCTGCAGCCACCTCCCTCTCTGGTGCTTACCAGATTCTAACAGGGCAATCCAACAACTTCATGTCATCAGGAGCAGGAGGAACTGTGTACCCCTGTACCTACTTGGGGTAGTTTACATGGGGCCAAACCTAACTGAATCATCCCTAACCCAGGATGTCAGAGTCCCCATATTTCACCCAGGTTGATTGACAAGCCAAACTGGGACCTTGCCATCCCACCCTCTTTTCCAAAGCATTTTTAAATGAGTCATTGATTTCAGTGCTACCCCATGAAATCGAATTCTGTTCCTCACATCCCACCCTCCACTCACCGAGGCTGGCTGAGCCACTAGTTCAGTGCCTTCGCAAGTAGCTGGCTGACACCCTTGTATATGACATCTGCTGCTTCCTGTCATCTGCCAGATCGTTGATTCCGTCAAACTATCAGGCAGGCTCATTTGTTTTTAACACAGAGGTTCTGTTCTTGCTCAGTTGACTAGAGATGGCTTCTACTCCCCTCCCCCATAGGGTTTCACCATGTCCTGGCCTAGTCCTTATTACACAGCCCAGCCTGCACTTGGACTCATGGTAATTCTCCTGCCTCAGCCTTCCAAGTGTTGAGATTATAAGTTTGAGCCACATAAGCTTTTTTAAGATTTACTCTTAATTATGTGTACTTGTTTGTGTCTCTGTGTGGGTATGTGTACATGAGTGCAGGTGTCCAGAGGCCAGAAGAGGGTGTCAGAGCCCCTTAAAGCTGGAGTTACAGGAGGCTGTGAGCCAGCATATGTAGAGGCTGAGAACTGAATTCAAGTCCTCTAGAAGAGCAGTAAGTGCTGAGCCAGTTCCTCCGGGACCCCTCCCCCATAACTATATTAAAAATAAGGCAAACTGGATGTGGTACACACCAGTATCCCCGCACTAGGGTGGCCAAGGCAGGAAAATGAAGTTCAAGGCCAGCCTAGAATACATGGAGAGTTTCAGGACAGTATGAGCAACTTAACATGATCCTGTTTCAAAAAGGAAATTTTAAAAAGGCAAAAATAGGCTGAGCATGGTGGTACATGCCTTTAATCTCAGCACTCCCAAGGCATAGGCTAGAGAATCACTTGTGAATGAGTTCAAGGCCAGCCTGGTTGACCTGGCAAGTTCCAGGCCAGCTAGAGCTACATAATGAGACCCTGTCCCAAAAATAAATGAATAATTTTTTTTAAAAAAAAAGCATGAGCAAGAGTAATTATGGTGAAGGGACTGGTATAAATAAGTGAGAAATACTAAGTAACTTTTCATGATCATCTCTTAAATGGTGCAGGGAAGGACTGATGAGTGTGCCCACACATGTGACCTTACATGAGACGTGGCACCGGGTGAGATGGAGCAGCAGCTGGAGCTGCTTGTAGCTGTGAAGATAGGAAACCACGGGCCCTTAGCAGTGTCTCTGCTGGGGCTGTGGGACAAGGTTCTTTTTTCCTCTTTTGATCAAGTTTGTGTTTATTTTTCAAATGTGATTATATGCTACTGAAGTAAAAATACATTTATTTTTAAACCATTTCTGCTCTTGAATTTTGGGATTGCTGGGAAAGAGTGGACATGAGAGCCCTTGCAAGAGGCTGTGCTCTGCTGTGATGGTCTGTTTATCTGGTTACCCAGGTGGGTTATCCTAGATGGAATCACTAAAAGGAAAGAGCACCACTCATCGGGATGTAGGCATGCTCGGAGGCAGAGTGTGGTAGACGTACCTGTAAACCCTAGCACCTGGGAAGTGGGAGGTAGAGGCAGGAGGACCAGAAGTTTAAGGTCACCCTGGGATACACAAGACCCTGTCTTTAAGAAAACAAGAAACACCACATCCCAGCACAGGCACAGGCAGAAGCAGGTGGGTATCTGTGAGTTCAAGGCCAACCTGGTCTACATAGGGAGTTCCAGAACAATAAGCTACATAGTAAGATCTTGCTCTCAAAAAAAAAGTGGGGGATGCAGGGGCTGCCCAAGCTAAAGGAAGTGAGAAGTTAAGCCATGTGCTTTTCACGTGGAGTCTCTAAACTGACCACTGAACACAGCATCACCATCCTTGGAAACATCTCCCAAATGATAGAAAATCAGGCAAAATTCCTCCTCTGGAAGAGGCTCCCAAGGCTGATCTACAATGCCTTAGATAGCCCCAAATTCCTTCTGTCTGATAAAAGTGGGAGTATCCCTGAAGTCTGTCTGGAAACCAGTGGGCTAAAAAGTGCATTTGTGGCCTGGCGATGTGGATCAGTTGCCTAAAATGCAAAATCATTTGCCTAAAATGCAAAATCAGTTGCCCACAAAAGCCCTGGATCTATGATTATCCAGTATGGTGGCACACAGCTGGAACACCAGTTCTTTCAGGAGGCAGAAGCAGGAGAATCAGAAAGTCAAGGTCTTACTCAGCTATATGGTGAGTTTGAGGCTAACCTAGCATACATTAGATATTTTTTAAAAGCCCACATGTAGCTGGAGAGCGATATCCACAGCACCTACATAAACTATATATGATGTTAAAGTCCTATAATCCACACTTAGGAGTTGAAGGGAGAAGAATCAGTAGTTCGAAGCCAACCTCAGCCACATTTGCACTTGAAGGGACCCTGAACTACATAGACCTACCTCAAACCACACACACAAGAAACCACGTGGCAGAGAACTGAGACCTGTCTGCAACCACAGGAGACCTTAAACACGGACCCAGGCAAACAGGTAAGTGTAAGACCTGCGTTAGTAATTAAGTCCCAGTCACCAATAATGCACTGGTGTCACTTTAAGGAAAGGAACCAAAGCACATCCCCTCAGTGTCATTTCATCAAGAGTGAGATGGATTTGAACTCCCGACTTCATGCTCCCTATGTCTTCCGTCCTCTGTCTGTTGTATGAGTCTGGATCTGTGCCTGCCTGAAGGCTGTCTCTCTCTGAGTATGTCTGAGTGTGTATCTTTAAGGAAGGGCTTTGCTCCCTCCTTTATTGGATAGTGCAGCATGCTGTTTTATGGGGAAGGAACGAGGCACTTTACAGAAATCTTGAACAGAGTTTTCCAAGGGATTAAGTCACTGGCTCCCACTGACACCAACTGACCCAGACCACAAACACTACTACAAACATCACTGTTTATCAAGCAATATCTGTGTGATGTAGTCAACATATATGGATATTTTTATAAGACTGCTTCCACCATGTATTTGTCGTTTCCAGCAAATGATTATAGTAACATACATACACTGCTCTTGGATCAGGGCATGGAAAAGTACTTAGTTTAAGAGTACAGCCAAGCATGGGTTTAGGTTGTAAAGGTTGATTCCACCGGAAACGTTGATTGTTACATTGTTCTCTTGCGGGCAGGTTAAACAAACAGGCCGAGTACATAGAGGGACGGCAATCTGAGGTCTTAAGTGACTGCAAGGTGTGAGATACAGCCCAAGTTCCAGTTTCTTAGAATGCAAGAGGCATTTTCAACATAATGCATTGCCACAGCACAGCTCCACCCCAAAAGAGCCTGAGAGGCCCTGAGCCAAAACCACCCAGGCAAGCTACCACAGATTCCCGATTACAGAAACTTAGGGGCAGTGTTTGCAGCTTAGGCTGTTAAGTGGATACATTGTTACACCGCATCTGATGACTATACATGCCTTACGCACATTCCATTCTCACCACGACCACATGAGCAGAGATGACTGTCCTCACTCTAGAGTTAGACATTGTGAGCTGCTGGGTCAGGCTCAGAATTGAACTGGGGTCCTCTGGAAGAGCGGTGCTCTTACCTGCCATCTTTCTAGCCTCAAAGGTGTTTGGTTTGGGCTCACAGTTTGGGGGTACAGTCAGCCATGGTGGAGAAGGCGTGGCCTCTGGAGGGTGAGGCTTCGGGTCACATGCATCCCCAGTTAGGAAGCAGAGAGAACTGGTTCTCGGCTCACTTCCTCCTTTTTCATTCAGTCGAGAAGCCCGGCTCATGGTATGTTTCTATCCACATTCTGGGTAGCTCTTCCCTCTTCCTTAAGCCTTTCTGGAAACTCCTTCATAGACATGTTATGTTTCAAGGATGAATCTAAATACAATTAAATTGACAATGAGGATTAACTACCATGGTCGCCTAGTCCTTACCATCCTCCACACGGGCTTCCTTCAAGTGAACAATGGGTGACAATGCTTTTTCCTTTTGTTGGGGGGCTGTGGTTATGCATGTCTGTTTCCTTTCAATTAATTTTTTATTAATGTTTTCTTTTCTCACCAACTTCCATGGGTTTTGTTTATTTGGGGTTTTTGTTTTTCTTTTTTTGCATTTTATTTAGTGTGTGTGTGTGTGTGTGTGTGTGTGTGTGTGTGCGCGCGCGCGTGCGCGCGCACGCGCTCAACACAGCAGACTTGTGGAGATCAGGACAACTTGAGGGAGTCAATTCTCCCTCCTACCATCTAAGTCCCAGACACTGAACTCAGATCACCAGACTTCTCAGCAGGCACCTTTATCCACAGAGCCATCTTGCTAACTCAAGAATTCTCAAACCTAGAAGGACATACGGTTCCCACGGTGGGGCTGGGGGAGGTGAAGGGATAGCTGAGTGACACTGACTACATACCAGGTACTGACTGAACCCCCTCCTCCACAAAGGCATGGCAGGTGACTCTGAGTGGAAAGGGGACCCCTAGACTCAGGGACATCAGCCCTTGGCAGGTCCCAGTCTCGGTGCCCTCTGCTCCACAGCCAATCAGAACATCAGCCACCAAAGCCAAACTGGATTCTTCTCTCAAAAATAAGCCATCGACGGCATCTTTCTGCTGCAGATGCTTATTTTTAAAATACGGGGGAAACGCTGACTGGATAAAGATCTCTGTCAGACTGCGGGCTTTAAAAAAGCATTTCGTTCAAGCTGGCACACCAGACGGAATGTAAATCTGCTACAGAGCCAAGCTGATGGGCAAGTAGGAGATGCTGCAGTCCAAGTATCTAGTCCAAGTGCATCATACGACCAATCCATCAACCCCAAATAAAAAATAGCACGCAACAGATGTACTTCAGCAAGGAAGAGAGGAACAACAGGCGAGCCTGTCTCGCTCCTTCCCCTGGTCTGCATAAATAAGTCTGCTTGGCTGGCTCTTCCTCAGAAGCCCCATTGCAAAATCTTCCCAACGTCTGTCACCTGCTTCTTCATTTCCCTCTGAGATGCTATCGTCGCTAACCTAGTCTCTCAAGTTGTTTCAAATCATCGGGAAATAATTGAATACAAAAACAAAAACAACAACCAAAAAAAAAAAAAACCCTCAGGAAAAGATGATGGAGAAATATCTCAGAGTGTCCAGAGTGTGGCGTTATCACCTGGCCTTGCAGGTTTAAAACAAAACCACCACCAAAACGCAGGAGGTGATCCCTACCACCAGCTGCACTGAGGTTTAAACACGTGTGTTGGGAGATGTACCCAGAAGCCGTGCTCTAAGACACTGCCATAGATTACAGAGGGTCCAAACTCTGGCCACCATGGGGGTGTGTCCCTGTCCTCCTGTTGAATCATGGTGGGCCGAAGGAGAGAGGTAGAAACAGTGATGTCCCAGTGACCCAGCACAGCCTTAAGAGATGGACAGCTCCCGCTGTCTCGGCACCCAGTGCCACCCTGTGAGGAAGCCTCATGGAGAGAGAGGCCCAGAGCGCGGGAGTGAGGCACCTGGCTGAGCCGCCAGCCGGCTCCCCAGCAGCCCTGCGAGTGAGCTGCATGGAAACAGGTCCCCTGGCTTACTTGATTATCCCTAGTGCAGCATTTGTCAAACCTCCATCTCCAGAAATATTTCCATTACAATTCATAACAGGAGCAAAATGACAGTCATGAAGTAGCAGTGAAAATGATTTTATGATTGTGGGTCACCACAACATATGAAGAACTGTACTGAAGGGTCCCAGCACTGGGAAGGTTGACAGCCGCTGAGTTAGAGGGTACCATGTGGAACAGAGAGTCTCTGCAGTTACCAAGTACTGCCCAAATTCCAGTTCTCTCTGAGTCCCTCAGCCTCCCCCCACGTCTCTCTGTCTCTCTGTCTCTGTCTCTCTGTCTGTCTCTCTCTCTCTCCCCCCTTGCCTGTAATCTCAGCATCTGAGAGACTGAGCATAAAGATCACAAGTTCGAGGCCATCTGGGCTACACAGCAAAACCTTTTCTCAAAAATATTTCTAAAATTAAAAAAATAATGATAAAAAATAAGGGCTAGGGATGTGGCTTAGTTAGTAGGAATGCTGGCCTGACATGCAGGAGCTCCCAGCCCCACATAAGATAGGCTTGTTGGCGCCAGGAGTTCAAAGTCACCCTCCACTGTACAGCCTACTTGAAGCCAGCCCGGGCTCCATGACACTTTGCCTCAAAATTAATACCTAAATAAAGATAAAAGGCCTCGTTTTACTCCTGATGGGTTCTCTGCCTTATTCCCGGTGGGATGGCCACTGCTGCACCAAACCTTAGACTCCAAAATAGAAGCCAAGTGACCTTGTGGGCCAGTGGTTCCTTTGAACAGAATGCCAGTCGTGTCTACAGAAAGGAAGCGGGTCCCTTGG